TTACAGTTATTTAAATTGAACGTTGAAAGATAATATTGATCATGTTTTATTCTGTAATGTTAATAGAAATCATACACTGTCAGAATAAAAAGGTTGCATTTTATGGCACTGGCAGTCCCTTATGAAAATGAACCATGGTTTTACTAAAGTGACCATAGTTCAACTGTAGTATTTATAGATTTGAATCATGTGTAAACAAAAAACATATTTGAACCATGTGTAAACAAAAATATAACCTAATAAATTACAATTAAGGCATATTGAAAGTTAAAATGTGTTTTAAACAAAGTTAAATGGATATCATTACCCATTTTACTCTTAGTAATTTAATAAATTTCATCATTTAAAAGTTTAGTTAAGAAGTATCGTATCGGTATCGATATCGACGATACTGCCTTGAAATAAATCGGTATCGTATCGAAAACAGAATAAGTGGTATCGCCCATCCCTAGTTTGAGCCTATTTGCCCTAATATATTAACTTTGTTTTGTGTACGTCACGTGACATGTCAGGGTTTCTATCTAAACTGCACTGCAACTATCTACAGCTCAATGCTAAGTGGTTTGTTATTCCTGACATAGCTACAGTTAGTAATACTTGGCTGTGAAGTCGATAGTAGGCTAGTCTGCGCTTTTCAGTGACTTGTTGGAATTCGGTACACCAGTCAGCATCTAACGAGTTTACAGAGGACTGTAAACTTCGATTTCAAGCAGTGTTCCAACATACATAAACGACCTTGAACCAAAACATACTGTCATAATTCAAAGCTTTCCAGCATTATCTATAAAGTAAATTGACATTAGCTAGCCTCAGCTAACCGTACCTTCTGTCAGGCCCTTATAACTCCGATCCTTCGCTCTCAGAAAGACGCTTTCGTCCCCTGCCATTGAAACGCGTTCGCTACCTAGTAACTTATAGGATAATAAACAGCTCGACCTATATTTCCAACGTTTCGCTATCGTGTTTGGGCGTTCGTTGCTAAATCTGACGAAGTCATCTGTTACTTAATCACAGTGTGTTTGTGAATCGATGCGTTTGGTGATGTATTAGCAATGTCTGGACTCTTTGACACGACAGGCTGACTACAAACGAATTAAAAGTCGGAGCTCTAATACTCATTATGGATATTTGACACTACTTTCAAAATGCACAGTAGCCTACTATATGATACTTTTATATAAACAGTCGAGAAAAACTTAAAAGATCAGGCTAAAACAAGTCTACCATATTGACTAAACGAAATTAAAAATCTAAAATATGTTTATTTTTAAGCGTCTGTTGTATTGTGTTACAATAGGCCTAACTCGGTGGAATTTTAAATCTATAGACATCAGCGTTTCAGCAGTTTGCTACGAATGTGATATTCGACGAAAGACAGAAAGTGTTCTGATTCTGTCAAATAAATCAATGTATACTGTTCAATGTATACAATGTCTAATAATACATGTATATTATTTAATGCATATCCTCCTGAGAACCAGAAATAAAAAGCTTTGTGAATTTAGTATTTTTTCATGTCATTACATTGTTTAGAGCATAAGAAAAAAATGGTAAAATAACATTTTTGAAAAATTATGTTTTATTCATAAGTTATGCTATGTCCTCTGTAGAGGACACCAGGACTCCGTTTTTCTAAAAATAAAATGGCAAGAGTAGACATGAAAAGGCAAAAACAATGGGAATTTTTTTTAAATCACCAATCAATTTTAAGGTTTCAGGATTTTTTTATAACTAACTTTGTTTAAGGATGGCTCTCAACTATGTTATAAAATATATAACACAATGATTTGATATACCATATATATTGTAATATATTGCTTTATGCAATATGTGTGTAAAAATTCCATAAACTGGTTTTCCCATTAAGCACAATGTTATCTATACACTGTATCTAATTTGCATATTAAAGTGCTGTTGGGACAGCATGTTGAAAAAAGAAGTGTAATAATGGGAGTAGTCATTGGCCAGATTTTCATAATAATATCTAATATTTCATAAGAATATTGATATGGAATTTGTTTTCCTATTCAATTCTTTTGTCTCCCAAAATGTGTAATAAACATGCTTTCAGTCCTGGTGTCCTCTACAGTGGACATGTATTAAATTATGTCCTGTTTCATAACAGAAGCTCATATTTTGATTTGAAACCCCATAACATTTTCCTGAGATGTTGATTTATGACAAACAATTAGAAAATTAGTCAGATTTAAATTATAATTACAAAATATTATCATATTTCCATAAGGATGTACATTTTTATCACTAAATTAGTGTCAGCCATTTTTAAAAACCAAGGAGAGGGAGTGTTCTCGGGGAAACATCCAATCATTTGGTATCTCTGGAAAGCCCTGAATGTGCTCTGTACAGGACTCCAGACTTAAAACTGTGACGTGTGAGGTCTCAGAGAAATTCACTCAAATATAATGTCCACTACAGAGGCAAAAACTCCATAGCTGGGTCTCAGGAGGATATATGTTTCTAATAATTTTCATATAGCCTACCTATAGCAACACAATGTATGTATGGAGGGCGCAACTGCACATTTGCAGAGGGGTATGCAAGATCGGTGTCGGCGCCCCCCTGTATTCTAGTAACTCGCGCAGAAAGCTTTCTGCAAGTCAATGACCAAAAGCCCATTACTATAGCTTGTGCATGGAAGGATACAAACTCATAAGGAGTATAAAAAAAAGTGACAAAGGATTGAACCCCCTTCCCCCTTTTTTAATACTATAGGGAAAAAAGTGAAAAGTAAAACCAAGAAAAAAAGAAAAGTGTGTCACGTGACATCCCATTTAACTCCTGATGGCAGACCCCAGACAGTAGAACACATTTTTTTATTCATTTTTATTTTCAAACACATGTAATATTGCTCACTTTTTATATATATTATAATATTGTTTATTTGCCACAAAGTTATTAATATTCTTGCACATTTATATATAGTACAATTTATTTTAAAGAACATCTGCCATGCTAAGTGGAAGATTTCTGCCAAGATTTCTATTAGAATGAATGTCATGATTCCCACTATGACCACTAAATGGCAGCAGAGGATAATTTATTGTCTCCTTTACCATTTCCACTCTGTAATATAGTTCTTTTCACATGTTTTGCAAATGGATTTATATTTAGACATTACAAAATCACTATTATAACATTTAAAAATCTATTTTTTTTGTCAAAGTTCAGCATTGTTTTGTATTGAAGTATGAAGTAGCAAGAGTTTTCAACTCATTGAATCTACTTCAATTACACAGATGGCCTATTTTAAATTTACAACAATTTTCAGTGAAAAGTGGCTAGTTTGTATCTTTGTTTACAATCTTCTCAGTTTCTCTCAAATGTAAATCAAATGCCCATTTACAAACATGTTTTGTATTACCTAGGCTCCAGGTATTTTAATAAAAGGGCTCACTATAGCTTTATTGCTCAGTAAGCTTGGATCTGGGTCTTAAAGGGGTCCTATTATGCTTTTTCACTTTTCGAATTTTAGTCAGTGTGTAGTGTTAATAGTGTTCATCGTCTGTTTTATTATGTCTTAAATTGATTTTTCCGTACATTTCTGCCATATGTACATTAACTGACAGTCACCACTGATAAACTACCACTAAATATTGTAGAAACTTAATTTGCTGTAAAGTTGCTTTGCAATGATTTGTATGGTGAAAAGCGCTGTACAAATAAACTTGACTTGACCATTTGTCTTTAACTGAAAATTTAGTGTTTACTATTGTCATTTTGCATTATTGACAGACTATTTTCCTAATTAATGCTGTTCAGTTGCTTTGACACAATCTGTATTGTTAAAAGCGCTACATAAATAAAGGTGACTTGACTTTGATTTGACTAGTGTGTATGTTTGGGCATAAAAAAGATCTTCAAATTTACAAATCTCAAAGTCCACTCCAAAGTGAGATATTTCATTTTTTTTAAATCCCTTTTCAAGAACTACAACGAGCGGCTCGTTTGGACTACAGCGTTTGTTTTCCGGGTTTCGTGATATCACAAAGCGGCCCATTAGAATATCATTAAAATAATTCCCGAAATTCGAATGGTTGGGGGCTGGGGAGGGGCGAGGTCATGTTAAGAACGCTTAGTTGAGTGCATCAGATGAGACGACGAGGAAGAAGTGCTGCTGTAGCCTCAAGTTTTCGCAAGTTATTACCCATGCACCTGAAAAATTACATATGTAAATATGTATGTTACAGTTGTGAAAACATTTTTATAATAAATTGCTGACAGTACAATACTGGACAATGATGTAATCTGCAGAATTTACACTTCAATTA